GGGCGAGGGAGGAGTAGGTCCAGGCTGGCTTCGTCATGGCGCCCCTAGCAATTGCAAGAACGTGCGGATTCAGCTGTATGAAAAACCGCACAGCTTGAACACAAAATGCAGGCTTCTTCATTTAGTTTCCGCATTGCACTATGCGTTGCAATGACATGAATCGACTTGCTTTTGCCCAGCTCACACGTGTACGACACCGCTTACAAAATCACAGCTAGCTAGCTGTACATGTATAAAGGATCCGGGCTGGGGTTTGAACGCGTGCAGCTCAATCCACATCCGAAGGCAGAGCAGACCAACCGGCCATTTGCTTGGCTGCGTGCCACCTTAGGGGGACTGGTTAATAGACTGCCTAATTATTTAGCCATGTGGTATTTGTCTGGGGTCACGGCGCCGCTTTCATGTTCTCGAATTTGCAGAAGCCAATGGTGAGGCCGGATAGGGCGTTGACCTGGCCAGAACAGTACAGAATAGGGATGGGTAAAAGGGAATCGATGCCTTAAATTTAGCATCATACAGCTGGTTGTACATATCGACAATCTTCTCGTCAGCAACCGTCAAATAAAAGCTTCGAGCAGACAGCCTACACTGGCGCACATCATCAAAAGCACAGGTGTGCTTAGTAAGACCCTGAGGGCTTGGCACAACTCCTATTGTAGATCTGGAGCCCACAGGCCCTTTCTGTGTCCAAGACCTGGGCTGCAAAAAGACAAAAGCCGCAAATGCTGATATTTATAAGGCGAGGGCTTTTGCTTACCATCTTTTGCGCTTTGGGGGACTGTCAAGAGATCGTCACGCTTGGAGATTATGACAAGTGCCTGCACATCCTCGCTGTTCACCCCGCGGTATCGCTTTGTCGATGGCGGGTCCTGCGTATGTAGGAAAACTGTAGGCATGCATAAAGAGCTGTGTGGAAAATATGGTCCTGTTCTTGCACAGCAGGCTTTTCAACAGGAGCTTCTTTCTTCTTGTTTGCTGATTGGTCACGGGCTGCGGTTCGTGTGGCTTTAGCATTTTTTCCCCGTCCCCTTCCCGCGCCGCGCCCCCTTCCTTCGCCTCGCCCCCTTCCAGGTTTTCCCCCACGCCCTTTGCCTCTTTTCCGCTTGCTGGTTTTTGCTTTGCCTTCATGATCAGAAGAAACTTGGGATGAATCCTCCCCTCTTTCATCCTCTCCAAGTCGGGCAGCCTTCCGGAGCGTTTTTTGGGCCTGCGACACAACGTACAGTTCCCCAGACCCTCATGTGCCAGGCCGAGCCTGGAGGACATTGTCGTTGGCATCTTCTTCAGAGGCAAGACGCTGAATCGCAGCTTCGGCCAAATCGGGCAGCGTTTCAGGCTCTTTGATGAGTGGCTTTCGGTCCTCCCAAAGCGGAAACCACCAACATGTTTCACACATACAACCACTGAGCTCTTCTGTCCTTGAAGGTTCCTTTTGCCTTGGATTCCTTGTTCTCTTCATGGAGTTGGTGCTCATCATGGGTGGCTTCCTTCCCTGCAAGCCCCTTGCTAGCGGAACTAACCTCCTGATCAGGCTCATGCGCAATTTCAATGCATTCATCCTCTGTTACGGCTTCCTCCTCGTTGCCTTCATCATCTGTGTACTGGGGGCAAGACCCTTGCGCGTCCACCATGTCTTGTTGAAGTTCTTCTGCGGTTTGGGCAGGGTCAGCCTACACAGACATGATCAGTGTGTTCAATTGCATAGTTATGTTGTTACGACGGCCTCATGTTCTGGGAGCTGGGTCTCGGCGGTGTCCATATCGATCTTCTTTCGGTCCTGCGCAAGGTTTCAGAAAACGGTGTTTGCAAGTGATCTGTTGTTATAGGGGTCCTCGATGGTCTGTCTGGCTGCTTGTTTCAACTGCTCCATCCTCTCGTGGCCCTTCCTGCGTGAAGCTACAGCAAAGGATTAACATTTGCAAGTGAAAGGTATGTCCTCACTCCCTTGTTCCGCACTGTGCGGAAGCAAATGTATGCTGCGCAGCACCGCTGAATTGCTGCTTCTGTCTCAGCCCAATCCTGGTTTGCAAGCAATACTCAAGTTTGGTTGGAAGTCAAGCTCGTGTTCTGGGCCCACCGCAGACAACTTCTCAGGCGGGAAATCGTTCAGCCGGTAGTGCTTCGAGGCCCACATCAAAGCTGCCTATAGGCGTACAGGAAGACTAACACAAAAACATCATGCGCCAGACCTTGCACTCCTTGCCGGTAGGGAGATCGCCAGCGAATGTGGACACATAGGCGAGCATGACATCGAAGTTGTTCTGGGTTTTGGTCACCTGGCTGCTTGCCCAAACAAATCCCCAAAGTGTTTGACAAGCGCGTTGCCTGCTTCTCAGAAACTTTTGGCCCACCAACGTCCAGAAAGGAGAACGCCCGGCCCTTCTTCGCCTGTTGGCGGCGTGCAATTGGTTGGCTCATCGATTTGTATGCACCTCTATGTATATGTATATGTACCTGCTCGCGTGTTTGTTTGATTTGTTGGCTGATTGGTCGGTTGATTGCTTGCTGATTGACTACTGAATGATTGGCTGGCTGGCTGATTCACTGATTGAATGGTTGACTGGTTCACTCATTGACTGATTGACTGATTGATTGCTTGATTGATTGATTGATTGCTTGCTTGCTTGCTTGCTTGATTGTTGGATTGCTGGATTGCTTGGTTGGTTGATTGATAGATTGCTTGCTTGATTGATTGATTGATTGATTGATTGATTGATTGATTGATTGATTGATTGATTGATTAATTGATTGATTCGTTGGTTGGTTGGTTGGTTGGTTGGTTGGTTGATTAGTTGGTTGAGTGTTTGAGTGATTTGATTGATTGATTGATTGATTGATTGATTGATTGATTGATTGATTGATTGCTTGCTTGCTTGATTGATTGATTGATGGATTGATTGATTGATTGATTGGTTGGTTGGTTGATTGGTTGATTGGTTGATTGCTTGGCTGATTGATCGCTTGATTGACTGGTTGATGGCTTGTTCGATTGGCTCACTGATTGCTTGGTTGCTTGGTTGCAAGGTTGATTGGGCGGTTGATTGATTTGTATTAGCTTGGTTGGCCGGTCCGTCGGTTGGTTGGTTGGTTAGTTGATGACTGACTCATTGATTAGGTTATTTGGCTTGATTTGGTTTGAACAGACTCGGCTGGCTCGTGTAGTAATTTGCTTGCATGGGTTGATTTGAATGGTGCAATTCCCCGATCACCCACCTTGCATTTCTTGATGCGAGTCTTGATGAACTCGGGGGTAAGGATGTCGGTGTACAACTCCTGCGCGCAATTTCCCCGCCCCTGTGCCCCCCTCACTGGAATCCAGTCCTTCAACAATGCCACCCGCCGAGGATTTGGCTTGCTGGTCGGCATGCTGCAGCGACTACAGCAACGAACGCATTTACAGTTCGTGGTGATTATATCCTGGCCCCCTATCAAATGGCAACCTATAATTTATTTGATAGCCAGCGTTAAAGCATGAGCTTGGGCCTCAAAATAGCTGAGCGACACCACGCTCGACGCAATTCTAGTGAAGCGGGCCGCTGGCACAAAAGGGGGGCTCACCCTGGCAGTCGGTGTCATCGCTGTTTTCCTCGCAACCTTAGTCAGCAACCACTCAATTTGATTCAATAGTCATGCCAACAGTTTTGGGCGCCAAGCGTTGGCGAAGACCCCGCTTGCCAACAATCATTCGGGAGATAGACCAGTCCTCGAAAGGCAGGCAGGTCAAGATAAACTAGCCCTCGGCCAAACATCTCAGCCCTCGGCCAAATCATAGCCAGCTTTGCCCGCATCATGTGCGCCGCCCCCATGGCCGGTGCACCCGTGTAAAAGCTAAAACCAACTGACTGATCACGAAGATTGTTGACTTCATCAATGCTTGTTTTGGACTAAGCTTGGGATTGCTACCTAAAGACCAACGGATCGCTACCTGAGAACAAGTGGCCAGCAGGGCCAGTGAGTAAAACATGCACGAGGGCAGGTTTAACCAGCACGTTCTCAAAGGACGAGTTAAACGCGTCCGTGGACTTGCTGGGTTAGTTGGCTCTCTACATCTCCGTCATCCGCAAGCGGCATCCCTGACAACCTTCATTGTGGGTGATCTCGCTTTCCCCCGAGGTAAGCTAGCTAGAATCTGCGCGGGCATGAAAGGTGCGGGCGTGTCCTCCCAACCTTGGAACCATGGGGACCCGTTCAGAGAAATGTCTTGCAGACACCTTCAGTCTGGCTTCATGGTCCTCAACAGGATAGGGGTCCAATCCGGTTTCCGCCGCCGAACCACTGCCAGATAACAACAAGGTATGAACACATGGGCAGGGTTTTTTGACAACAACTTGCATCGGCTTTTTACAAACAAAAAGCATGAGATACAGGTTCCACATTCCCCCTCCCCCTTTTCCTGTTAGGTGGTCGCAGAATTTTAAAGTACATCTCCCCTGCCAAAACCACAAAAACAAATAGAACAACACGGGAATCGCTGGGTGTGTCTCGGAAGCAGGGCCTCTCCAAACTGGAAATCAGGAATCACCTAGGCCCAGGCACCTGGGCTCTTGTCCACCCATGCCACCAGGGTACAATAATGGGACACAGGTCCGCCGAGTGCAGCAGGCAAAAGATGCAGCCACCAAAGTGAAAAACCGTCATGAGTCACAAGACAGACGCCAGTGTGCGGCGGTGACCCGCCGCATTTTGGGACACCAAGCCGTCAAACATCACAGCCACCACAAGTTTAGAAGGTAGTTGGGAAAGTCCCTGGCATGATCGGAAATGTGCAATCCTTTGACTAGTTCCTAACTTTCAACTGATTCCCATTGGCCATGCACAACGACGCGCCACTACCAAGCATGCTGGGGTTTGAGGAACCCTCTTCCTGAGTGGAGTGGCCAACAAGCGTCTAAACTGTTTGTTTACAGCTACATGTTCATTGCAAAAGCTTTCGGAGTGAGGCCATGTTTTGTTGACTCGACACGAACCCGCGACCTGGAAATCGAAACTGGCCAGGCTGCATGACAGGCTCAGTCGGGTCATCGTGCCAAAAGGAGTGGTGGTATCCTCTGAACATCACCTCAGACATAAGCCGGAGCGCAGGGTACTTGAAAAAGGCGTCACAATAGGGTTTGGACCCCGAATTGCGTGGTTGTCCTTCTAGCTTCCCTTTAAACCAACGCTTAAACAAATAACCTCTCAAAAGATTGCATAAACCCTCAAAAAAGACACACGCATTCCAAGGGTTTTGGGAATGAACTGTCTGATTGAGATCCGGGAACAGGAGGCACACCATCTAAATGAGGTGACCAGTTTGCCTTCCTCGGAATTGATTGGCAGAAGTTGGTCGAATGTGTCAACCCGATTGGCAAAGAGAAGCCAAATGAAGGCAATCTCATTTGGACATCTGGACAACTGCAAAAAAGCTTGGGGAAATGTTTGGGGAAACCTAAGGAGCTTTGATCAAACCTTTCGAAAACCAAGACAACCCTTGGGCTTCTGATCATAGGAACTTGAAGCAACCAGCAACCCCATTGAGGCGGGGCGGCGGAAACCGGAAGTTTTCGATGGCAAGTACCCAGCCCGAAGACCATTCTGAGGAAAGGGTTGGCCCCCCGGGTTCTACATTTGGGCTTTTCTTAAACTAGGAGTCGGTAAATATCGGTCCCCAAAAATGGTTTTGGCCTCACTTATAAATACCAACCAACATCCAAATCATCGTTTAAGAAGCTTCCATTTTAATCTGAACCCCAGATCTGTTTGACACTGGTCTCATCAGGACTGCTTCGCTTTCACCCACTTGTTGGCTTGCTATGGCCGGGGAACAAACACACGGGGGTGTCTCTCGCTCGCCAATTCGTCGGCTGCGCCGAGGCGCCATCTTGTCAGTTTGAGGCACTCGTTGCTGGGTCTCGAAATCGAAGAAGCCCTGGAAGTCATTACCTCGCGGGCAGCAAGCCAATGCGGCATCCTTTTAAAGCCACCTCGAAAGGAAAACGTCAACCAGCACACAAACACACACCAAATGGGTGGAAATTTGGGATCAGAGACATACACAGGATGCATAGCATGCACGTGCGCGGGCCTTGGCCGACGCCAGTCGGGGTGGTCCTTTTGCTACCCTGACAGATTGGAAGGTGCAGAAGGGCGTCCCCTGGAAACAGAAGGATCCTCTCTGAAATGGCATGCGCTCTGTTCATCGACCAAAGGTGTAATTATTGATCCTGGGTCGACATTTCCTTGAGGACAAAGTGTTTGGCGCCGCGTTGTCCTATGGTGGACCCTTGATTTGGTGGGGGAGTTTTATTCGTAGCGTCTTGGATGTAGGGTGAGTATGTCATAATGTTGATGGGTCCGAACCGGGAAGTAAAAACGACGACGTGTCAGCATTGGAGAACTGAGCTCAACAAACAAACCTCCACAAGGACGGTTCCTTTGCGGCAAGCTCAACTTTCCCATTAGTGGGCTTAACAATTATTAAACAGGAAAGGAGGGTAGCCCTGAGTAAAAACACATTTTCCAAAAGAGTCCAAGTAATCTGTGATGCGTTGTGAGGGGTTGATTGAACCGGGTGCAAGTACCTGCTTAGCTGCGGCCTTTGGATATGGGAGTGTCTCAAAAACAGGGGACCTCAATACATATGGTTTCCCCTTTGCGTTTTCTTCCAAGCAACAGGAAGTCCGGTTCCCAAAATGAGAAACTCTCATATACTGCCCTGCAAATCCGTTAACATGGAACCGAAAAGGAGGTTCCTCCAAGAAGGGTTGTTTTTGGGGTTCCATGCTAACCGGCGTGTAATGCAACAATCAGAAGTAATGTTCCTGTAAGTAGCACGCGGCTCGTAGCACGACACACAAAGCGCCACAAATAAGTGAGGCCGTTGGGCAAACAAAAAGTGTCTAAGCAACAGCAGGGAAGCAAAGCCAATGAATGATCAAGAAGGGCAACCTTCGAAACAACAGCTGCCCCTCTTTCGCATCAAAGCACGGAGGAAATGTAGGATGCCCGACATCCGCGTCCGAATCCAGTCCTTGGCTTCACGGAATCCACAGGACGGATGAGGGTGTGTCTTTTTTAACCTCGTAACCATAAATGCACGAGCCATGAAAAAAGAAAGAGCCGGCTTGGAATCGACCTCGTGCATTTTAGAAAATCGGTCCATCAAATGGGGATGAAAAAGCTGAGACGCGAGCAAAACACGAGGAAGAGTTTGTTGTTTCTGGGGTTGTTTGCCCAACCAGCAGTTGCATTTGTTGCGGCGATCCCTAGCGGCTGTCACAAGCCAAAGGATGATAGTTTCTGCGGGCAAGCAGTGCTTTCGCCGAGCGAATTCTTGCTGATTGTTAGTGGTGAGTGCGTGAATGCTTCAGGGACCAGGGAAGCACCAACAGGATCCCTAAACGCGGGCCTTCGAAAAGTCTTATTGAAGCATGCTTCGGGGGAAACCAGGCGGATGGGGAGCGCCCCACTTTCCAACATAATGCTCAACCAAAATAAAAGGGGGACACAAGCGGCAGAACAATTGGCCCAATCACCCCACCATAGAGAAGCCATGTTGAAAAGGCCCAACGGATTTTTCGAAGCCCACAAGGGTGCGTCTCAGGTTTGGGGAACACACAAACTGGCTGTTCTTCTGTTGGATTTGTTTTGATACCAACCAAAAAACGATATCCTCAAAGGAACGCACACCCGGTTTTCCAGCATTTTCCCCACCCCACCCCAAACCCATACAATAGCTCGTTGGGGAAAAGGGGGCCGATTCGCATTTTGACCCAAAACGAGCCTCATGCAGAAAGCTTTCGCGACTTTCAGCTTCAAGCGGGCTGAAGCAGAGGTGCGAAGGGCAAAGTGGCAGCACCACGGCCCATCTTCTGAAAGGAGAGCTTGGGCCCACAGTAGCTGCCCAGCGACACCAGCTGCACAGCCTGCGCGAAGAAGAAAAAAGCAAGCAGAGTCCAAGTGGCTTGCATAGAGCGCTGAACACCTGCAATAGGCTGCAACCCCTGGTCATGCTGACCCCGGAGTAAAACACCCGTCCTATCAATACGGCGCATTCCTTCCCAAAGCGATGCACTCCCACAAAAGGCGGACGCCTCCTACTTATAAACCAAGGGTTTGCTGATCCTGGGTTCCCATTACATCCACATGCCGAACAACTGATCAACCTCTACAGAAGGAAAATGTGAAAGTAGAAATAGAATGTGCTTGTTGGGATGCGCTTTTACCCTGCTGTATCCAACTGTGCTTTCTACATTTGCTGGCTGCGCCTCTATGAGTTCACTTCAGAGGGTTTGGGAAATCAACCAATGGGAACAAAAGGTAAGATTGAGAGTGTCAAACTGCGACCAACATGGGGCAGGCAAACAAAGGGAACTCGGGGCATATAACACTGGGCAATAGAGCCAATGTCCCTTGGGCGTGGCAGTTCGGAGTGCTAAGAAACCTTTAAGCAGACATCAAGATCCGAGACTCCCGCTTGGCCGGCAAGTGCCAGAGTCTCGAAGCCGCCAAACAACGATTTGCCCTCTGAGGTGACGGGTGCGATTGGGTGCGACTTGCGAATGGGGCATCTTGAGGTGACGGATGAAGATGGGTGCGGTTTCGGTAACTTGCTTCCTTGCAAGTTGGCTGCAAACGTGCATTGTCTTGGCCGCCAACCTGCAAGGAGGGAAGCAAGCCACACCCATACCGCACCCGTCTCCCCAAGACCAAAAGCCGACTGTGGCCAACCCCCACTTGATTTGGGACAACTATGGACGCACAACAACTGGAAGGATGGAGACCCTCCGGGGTGTCTCTCAGATGACTGACTGATTTCAGAGTGGTTTCAGACCTCTTGCTTGGCTACTCTAAGTGAGGAGTTGAAAAGGCAACCAAAAGGATTCCCTCAAACATCTTCGAGACAAGCTAAGATCCCCCCCACAAAATTTACCTCCCAGAGTCTTGAACAACTTCAGATTTCTTCGCTCCACTGAAGCATATGGAATTTCGTGAGACTCCCGTTGGCAAACAGGGATTTCTTGTCACACAACACGACGTGCAGGAATCTGGCTATTCTACAATAAATAAGCTCATCCCTGAAACAAGAATTGAATCCCCAAATCAAGGACTCAAGCCACGATAGCTCGTTTTAGCCCCTGCAATTTGTGGAATCCTTCCCAACTTTTGTTGTGCAGGCACCCTTAAGCGTCCCTCGTAAAACTCCCCGCTTCCCGGACTTCCCAAAAAAGTAATTGAGTATGTGTCAAAATCGGGGAGGGGGGAAATGACTGGGTTCCTTCCGGTCTCCCGGCTGTTTCACGGGGACTTCAAAAGAAAAAAACAAGTTGGGTCGAACCACCCGAACACCTGGCTTTCACCCAAGCAAACAATGTTTTCAGGGGCGAACCATAGTGGCAAGGAATGCGGGAACCCACAAAATGGGTTTGTGATTGGTTTCTCCTTCAGCCCTGACTGCAAAAATGGCGCTCCCCTATGCCAACCATTTCCCCATGATGGCTTCAGGGCTTTGACCCGCGATTTGCGCCCACAAAGCTAACCTCAAGACCTGTCGCCTGTGCAGTTTGGGTTTGGAGAATGGCATGCCCAGACTTCGCTTGGGCGGAGGGGGGTAAGACGCCGGCAGCTTTAGGGTGGAAAAGAGGTGTTGCTATGGTCGATGTCTCGTTGCAAGTAATTTTGTGAACCAGGACAGCCTCCACTGCACCGCAATGTCAAAGGGCCCCCTGATAAAAAGAAGGTTGCAAGTCAACTTCAGGGCACTTGCCCTAGGTTCAAGGTGCCAATAAGGTCCCCCTGGCCCCTGTGGAAACGCCCAAGTTGGTTTCGTCCTGGTCCAAATGCGTCCAAATGGGTCCCAGCTGCGGAGTCCACCGGCTGGTGCTTCAAGCCCAGCTTCTCGAGCATGTCTGACTCCTGCTGGCCGCCAAATCGCGTGGCCATCAGCCCGGATCCTTTCGCGTCTCCGCCTTGGCTCGACCCGACCCGGGAAAGCGAGTCTTTCGCATCTCTCCAGGTTGAGGAAGGACTCTCAAACATAGGATGCCCCAAAAGCAGCTGTGATTTCCGAAAATTGAAGGGCATAGACATTTCACCATGAGCAACTGGAGTCGGACATACAAAATGGGTACAAGGGCCATGCGCAGAAACATCACAAACAACTCCCCCCTCTTGAGGGCAGCATATGCTGCCTAAACCGTTGCCCATTGAACCTGTAATCGCCTTCCATCCATTTTCTAGCGGGTTTCCCACACAAGACATGAACCGAGGGGATGAGCTCCTGCCCTTCCCCTCGCCACGGCGCCATCGAAGTCCGGCGCCGGGATCATCGCCGGCGCCGGCACCCGGGCCATGGGAGCCGGAGCCATAGCCTGGGAAGGGCGGCTGGTTTTCCAACGCGCTGGTTGCTTGGGGTCCGAACCTCATTTTGAACCACAGATTGTATCCGAACCTCAGGCCCTAGATAACCACACTCATGGATTCACCGAAAACCGGGCCTAGGGTATCCCGGAAACAGGCGGTTGACATGCTCAGAATAGGTAGGATCGGATCTGAGGCACAAGATAAATACCCCAAGTCATTTTTCCAACGGGTCCCCCTACTGATCAACGGAAGTGAACCAGCACGTTTAGTGAACGGAATCTCCTGCTGGAAGACCACTAACAAGTGAGCATGCGTCCCTCTCCTCTTTGAGCGCTGGCATGCGTTCACCTTCTGCCAAGTTTATGTGGGAATTGCCACCGCGTGGAGTTCCCGTTTCAAGCTAAATACATGGGATAATATGTGTCCTCAAAACGTGTTGGCCGGTTCCCCTTCGGCTTCCCTTCAAGGTGTGCAAATCTATACCATTATAAATGGGTCGAGATTTAGTTTTTATTTTTTGTGTGTTTTATTTTGTGATGTTTTTTGTTGTTTTCCGTCTTGGCTAGTAAAATGCTGTATTTTACAGCATTTTCTCACGAATTGTACTTTAGACTAGCCCGTCAACATCATCAGCATCGTACATCCCCCGCATGTCCAGCCAACATCCCCAGCATCACCAGCAAACCGAGGGTGTCCCGCATCCTCAGCATCAGTTCCTCTCCGGCAAGGTAGGTAGGTATTTATGTATGCATGATAAAAAGCAGCGGGGGGGGTCTCCCGGATGATGGTAAAAACTCTTTGCATCCTTTGTTGGTTTCTGAGGTGGCTTCTTACCTTTGGCCAGGTGGGGTCCCAAAACCTTTAGGTGGCGTTGAGAACTCGTGTGGATTATGAGGGTGGGAGGCAACAGGGCCAGCCGCGCTCTCAAGACATCCAACAGGGAAAAGGGAGATGATTCTTGCCAGTGAGGCTTGACAAATGAAGCTTTTGCAATGACCCCAAAACCTGAAGGAAGGGCTCCCAAAGGCCTCGTTTTGCCCCCAGGGCTCGCGGGTTCACCGCCCCTGCCAAGTGGCCTGCGCGAGAGGAGGGCTCCATGCCGGCGCCGAGCGCAGCGGATGCCGCGGATGCCGCGGCGCTGGTGCCGGGGCCGGAAGCCATTGGAACCTCACGCGGTACGGCCATTCACTGGTACCAGCAGGTTGTCTACCAATACATGCATCTATACATATGTATAATATAACATATACAATAATCTAGATTTCTAAATATATCCATGAGAGTTGGCTTTAACCAAGCTCAAGCACCTGTCCTTGCTGAAGGCAACCAAGAAATGCAACGGCTCAGGGGGTCTGGTCTCATGTGCCCAAAGCAGTCTTGGTCCCATTCTGTGTGGGCCCGAACGGTTTACCTGTGATTGTCAGGCCCTTTACGCAAGTGGGCCAAACCTTCAGCCAAGAAGCTGTGCCGTCTGCACCACCGGCTGCTGATTTAGCTGCGGAACGGCGCAGGGGCCAACAGGGCCAACGGGGCCAGCAGGGCCAACGGGGCCAACAAGGCCCCAGACCCATGCGTTCCGAGCATGCTGTGCGTGCAGTGCATGTGGCGCAGGCACCATTGGCACCGGCGTATGCCACTGCACCTTCGGCTCGCAAATGCAAACATCCACTCAAGAACAGGTGTTCAACAGCGGCGGAAGGTTGTTTCTATTTCATAGGTTCGGGTTCGGCGGGCACTACAATTCCGCACTTCACAGCACTTTCTACCACAGACATGCTTTATGCCAGGACGGTCAACATCACTAGGACAGTCAAGATCCCAGCTTCGTTTTTGACACCCCCCGCATCATGTTCAACTACAAGATTTGGTTTAGGTTGGCTTACGGTATGGGGAAGATTACCGAAGATTTAGGGTTGGTTCAGGGTGGGTTTATGGTTCGCGTGGGGTGGGTTTAGGGCTGGGTGCGGGGCTGGTTTAGGGTTGGTTCACGGTTGGCTTGGAACTGGTTTAGGGATGGTTTAGCGCTGGATGTATTTGAGGTTTGCTTCGAGAGGTCAAGGGTTGGTATAGGGCTTGCTTAGGGCTTTTGTTTCGGGTTGGGGGTGGGTGCAAGGATTGGTTTAGAGTTGGCTTAGTCATGGTTAGTGTGGGTTTAGGATTGGTGCAGGCTGGCTGCAGAGTTGATCTAGGTTTTACCGGCTTGGTTTCAGGCGGGCTTTGGTATGCAGTTGGCTTAGGGTAGGTTTAGGGTTCGTTCAGGGTTTTCTTATGGGTGGTTTGGGCTAAGGTTTGCTTAGGGTGGGTGTATCTAGTTTAGGTTGGGTGTTGTGGCGGTTAGGGACGGTTTAGTGGACCGACCGACCGACCGACCGACCGACCGGGGAACCCTGCCACGACCCCTCAACACCAGGTTGAAAAAAGGTCACGAAAATAAGAACCAAACAGGAACCAAGAATTGAACACTAAAAACAAATCAAAGACAGGCCCACAACGAATGCACCTACAACAGCAAGAACACATGGCATGCTACATGCTTCACAGCCCAGGCGCAGGGTTGAAGTACATGTGCGGAAGTGGCGCTGGTAACATGCTTTGCGCCACATTCGCCACGTTCGCCTGAAGCTGCGCAAGATTGCTCTTCCCTGGACTTGGAGCTCAAGTTTTGTCGATGGCGCTGAAGCTCTGTTCTCCATATGCTTGAGTCCCCTGGACAAGCACATATTTCCAGTAGTGACCGATTTCCTTTAGCAAGTGGACCTGCACGCTACATTGCTTGGCATCTCCTAAGTCTTGTTGGGCAACAAGACGTTGAGCTAATGAGTGCCCCCTCAACACCCCGAAAAGAAGATGCCCTCGCCTCAAAATTGGCTTCTGTGGCCCCATGCTGCCCTAAAAGGGGAAGGGGTAGAACCTCTTTGAAGCGGTTGCCACTTGCCGCTGGATCTTTCAGCTGAAATCTGATGGCTCAAACGCTCGGATCTTACAAAGACGTAGTACATTGCTTTCTTGCAGCCAGCCCACACCAAAACTGAGCAACTACTAAAAGCTTCAAACAGGTCTGAGCCAAAACCATGAAGCAAAAATGACCCCTCTCCTGGAACACCCCAGAAGCGCACAAAACAAACCTCAAAAAGAAACATATAGAATATACCAAACTGCCCAGTCGCGGAATTGATGTGCGGAAGTGGCGCTGGCAACATGTTTTGCGCCACATTCGCCACGTTCACCTGCAAAATTTTGGGCAAGGCTGGTGTAAACAACCGTCGCTTGTTAAGGCATTTGATCTTGAACTACCCGGAATTCCAATTCAAGTGGATTGGCCCACAAACGTCCAAGTTTGTGGTTTGCCACTAAAATTGTCTTCCCACAAATCAGGAACTCAGAGCGTGGGGAAGAAATGCGTGAGGGGGCCTTTTAAAGTTTTCTCATACCGCAACCACCTAAAAGCCACCCGGAGCAATGTAGAAACCCTTCTATTGGTTGGATTTAAAGGGGACGAGAAGGAACACCACGGCATTTCTTGCGGTCAGCTAAAAAAGACGCTTGGCGCACGGCCTCGCCTCAACCGGCGGTCCAGTCCAACTCCTGGACAGCGGGTCCGAAGCGGGGCTGCCAGGTGGGGACACCGCCGGCATCGAGCCTCGGATGGAGTCCGAGTCAACACGCACCGAAAAGAAATCGGGCGCAAAACTCACCTCGGGGCCCAAACGGGCAATGCCTAGTCAAGAAAGAGACCTGGCATCCCTTTGTGGTACTAACATGTACTAACTGAGTCAAGACCAGTGTCTAACTGAGTGGTACCAAGTGAGTCAAGACCAGTGCTACAAAAAGGCACTCCCCGAACCGGAAGCTCCTCACCGGTACCGGTGCCCTTTTCGTGTGGCTTGGGACTTGATCTACTCGGGTGTTTGTGGCCCGCGTGGCTGCATTTCCGACTTTCAGGCCGGAGGGGGGTCCCGCAACTCCATGCTCCAAGTGTTCCAACCACAAGCGGGAAAAAGAAACAAAGAGAGGAATCATCTTGCCTCCATCAGCTATTGCATGCCAGTTAGGGAGTTGGAGGATGAGAGCCCGCCACCCAATGTCCTATACTGCCAGGACCTGGAAACAGCAGGCCAACTTGTGGGGAACCCCAAAGCTTACAAGGCCGATCAGCGCTGGACTGAGAGGGATCCCTTTTTCTTTGAGTTGGTATATATATATATATATTTCTATATACTTCTATTTGGGTTTGTCTCCACATGGGACCCCCAAGCACGTCGTGTTCCTTTTGGTCTCCCTTCAACACCCCGATGCTTGCAAGGGAATGTCCGGGTCATCACCTATGGCTCTGAGTCACTGCCCTGTTGCCCTGAAACCTGAGACCCTTGTAACAGAAAAACGAAAAAGCTCTATTTGGGGCTGGCCCTTTGAGTGGCGAACACTGAGCTACAAAAAACTGACTTGCAGAGTCGAACCTGCTGAAAAAATGGTGTCCCGCTGATTTGGATGTTTGGAGGTTGCGGTGTCTTTCCATTGAGCTTGACCAAGAGCCAGGGGTTCCAACTCCCCGAAGCCAGAAAAGGGCAATCTGGCTTGGGTACTCATCCAGGGGACTATTGCAGACACATACATTTATGCCGGTTGATGTTGGAAGGGAACTACTCTTGAAACAGAGGCAACTGGCTCCTCTTGTCCACCCTGTAGAAGCGAAAGAACACACAGGACAAACCTCCTTCACATCCGGTGTTGACGGTAGACGGGAGAACCCACTGTAATTATACACCGCTCCTGGCAAGATGCAACGGCACCAGGTGGCCCGTCCAGACAGGGCGGAAATCGAGCCCCTGCTGTTTTTCAACCACGCTCAAAACCGCCCCCCCCCCCCCCAAACCGTCAGACAGCCTTTTGCGCCACCAATCTTGTCACCCACTCCAAGCCCTCAAGGCCTAGAGGATTTTCAAACTAAAAACAAATGGTTCTCTACCACCATCATGAGAACCCCTCCAAGCCCTATTTGAAGGGGAAACCCCACTAAGGGAAGGAGGTCGTCCTTCCAGCCGCGAAACGGAACATTGGGTGCGGCATGGCACTTTGTTCCTTGCTTTCTGGCGTTTCTTGTCCCAACTCTGCGCGACCTAAAATTGCGTGAACTGCAGGTAGAAAGTCGCCTGAGTTTGCCTGGCTGCTTTTTTTTTCTCCCTGTTTGAGAGCTTGGTGTCGGTCCTTTGATCTTTTGTTTCTTCCGTATCGCTGGATCCAGGGTCAAACGAAGCCGAAAGGCCTGCGAGTGCATCACGTCGCATCGATCCACTGGCCCCCTTTTTGGGCTTCTTGATTTGCCGTATGCAAGCTTGGGATGCGAGCGCTGTCAAATCGATCTTGAAACCTCAAAACCACCCGGCCACGTGCCCCAAGGCCTTCTTGGATTTGGGGAGCAATCCCCCCACAGAGGATGTTGTTTATCATGTGCCTGACCACCTGCATGGTCTGCGCTGAGCTTCCGGACGCAGTGTGTTGCATGACCTGGAGGTTTGAAACAGCGGAGAGGTCAATGCAGGTTTTCAACCCCAATTAGTGGTTTGATTTGGTGGTTTGGACTTTAGGGCCGTAGTACGGGGGTACCTCTCGCCAAAAGCAACTGGAGTTCAATCCACCAAACCAGAAAATCCGAACCACCAGTTCAGGGGTATCTGAGGTTGGATGTTTCTGCAATACAAACAAATTCGTTTCGTGGGGCGAGTAGAAGGGAATGGGTTGAAATTGTTTTACCAAAAGAGCACAACGCCTTTCGGCTCTTTCTACAGCGCTCTTTGATTTGTTTTGAACAAATACAGGTGCGGCATAAAGCGTTTGAACTTGAGTCAACGAAGCTTTGGATCTTGCCAGACTAGCGCGGCTAACCAGCCAGTGGGCCGCACTAAGCGTGTTTTTCCCAACCCCCGGCGCTTTTCAACAAACCCGATCAAACCCGGACCGTTCTTTGCACTAATCATTCCAGGACCGGAAGAAACAGCAGCATGAACCAAAACATATGAAGATATGCCTTTTTTAGGGGACGCCTAAAACGTATTTTTCCTCTTGGTTTCCTTTTTGCCCACCCGAGAAGGCGTAAACAGCCCAACTGAGATCCTCAAGCAGTGAAGGAATGGGCTCACCTAGGAAGTAAACTGCTAAAATTCCAGTACGGCTTTTTCGACCAGGGGAATCAAGCGTTTCGCACTCAAGTGTTTCCCAATCAACACTTGCTCTAGTCTGCAGGTGCGGATCTCCGGTGATTGTTTTATTCTCAACCCCCTCCGCGTCCAAGGGGCCCAAATGGAGGGGGGGCGTGGTTTCAGATTGGAAAGGAAAGGAAAGAAAAGTGCGACGAGAGGGGGTAATGGTCCACTCTCTGCCCCTCCCGCTCACTGCTTTCCTCCGCCCGTGAACTCGCTTGGAAGCGTCTGTGAGTTTGGCACACAAGACCCTGACAACTTGGGTGAGGAAGTCATGCCTGTGGTAACAGCCTGGCATTATTTGACATTTTCCATCTCCAACCTGTATCCACAGCCTCTCACCATTTAGTAGCCGTAAACGAGAGTTGGGAGACAAGGCGTGTGTAAGCTTTCCCAAACACTTGCCTTCCATCGCCCTCTACGGTCCGCCCCCGTCCCCAGCTTCAAACAGAGGAAAAGCAACCTGCTCCCCAACGAAGGACAGGCTGTGAATTCTCCTGCGAGAAACCCCTGCAAGTGACCATGCAAATGATAATTGGGCAAAAAGCACAACCCTAGAAAGTCAAAACCATTCACCGGTGTGCGCTCGCCCGGCAAAACGGATCAGCAATCCGGGCAGGTCTCACGCTCATAGGCAAGCATCTCCAACTCCGTGTCGCAGTGAACGGGCGGCTGAGGGTAGCTGAGTAAGATGCCAGTACCAAAATGAACCTGTCAAAGCAAAAAAAGTCAAACAATGATCCGGCACTTCCGAAATAAACCTGTCAAAGCGAAGAGCCGGAAAGTGGCAAGATGCCTGAACCAGTCAAAGCAACAACATCAAAACACCAACCAAGTGGCAAGTTGCTGGCTACCGAAAGGAACTTGTCGAAACAACATTTCGGCAAGTGGCAAGTGGTGGGCCACCCCAAAATGCAGAACTCCAATCCTTAGATGGCCTTTTCTCTCGAGTGAATGGGCGAAGAAAAAGCAAAAACTCTTTGTCTGCCAAGAATCAGAAATTGCAAAAGACACTTCTCGGCTTCCGCAGGTTGCAAAGTCTTTCTTGATTTTCGCACGCGCAAAGTGGCCTGCCTTTTGGCCGGCTGCAGATAGATGCACCCAGATAAATCGCACATCCCCAACAGAATCCTGAGAGGGATGCGGCAGAGAACCGTCCGCTTTCATGGATTCAGTTGCACCAGCTGCCAAACAGACAATTGCAACAGAAATGCAAACCATCCTTCTACTTTTGCATCGAGCTGTGCAATGTCTTTGAGGTTTGAAGGAATGTTGATGACCTTGGTCTAACAGGGCCCTAAAGAGCCGGCCCTCAAAGTGGCACCCGTCCGGCCTGTCCAGTCTGGTCAAGAGCCCACCCTCTCCAAATCATAACGCGTCCCTCCTGCACACTTTTTTACATCCAACACGCTCAAAGATATTCAAAACACGGACACACGCAGGCGCCATACACCTGCAAAGAAAACTGACTCAGACTTGCTGAAAGGACTGGCGAGACCACATGTCTTTTTCTGCCTACACGGGAAGTACTATGACTCCAGTTCCCCTTAGACTGCACGCAGTCAAAGTACATCGAGCGTTGCAAAACGAAGAGCGCCGCACGGATGATGAGGCTCAGCCTATCGAGGTCCGTCGTGTCGGACGTTTCTGCGAATGAGAGCCATGAGTGAGGCTACGTTGCCTATCAGCCAAAGGCCAGGGTTGATCCCCGCAAACGACAAGGTTCCTGAATTCCTCGGCCCCGCAAGGGATTTTGATGATTGATAGGGTTCACAACCGCCCGACCAACTTTGTCGAAGACACCTTCCTGGAAGAAGTTGGTTGCGCGGGGCCAGCTTCGCAATTGCCCTGAATCTTCGCGGTGGCCCAGGGTGAGCCGAGCAAGGTGTGCAGAACCGTCTGCGCTGGCCAAGGCGTGGTAAGTAGTATTAGCAGAACACACGCCAAGTATGTAAAATGGCCAGCGGCCAGCGTTCGCTGAATCACAGCCTCAGTGGCCAGCCCTCACAACTTGTCGTCCACGCTCCTAACTGCTGAGCCACCCGCACATGCCCTGGGCGGGTGGCAGAACAAAACTCAAGGCTCCTGCGTTCGCATCATCTTCCCGGCGCCCTGCGTGATGGCAACGGAGATGGGAACGGAGGAAGGAGACGAACCGGTTGGTTGTTCACCTCACACCGGAGCTGAGACCGTGTCAATGGGCGCGTCTTCCACGCCACTTTGCAGGGTAAACGCATCTCCCAAGCATTCTCCCAAGCAGGAGCTTGTTGTCGTGATCCGCATGGACGAAGCTTGGGAGCAAAAGGCCTGCAGAGCGGGAGGCCAGGTGACGCAAATGACCAGCAAACCTACCAGGGCCAAGTGACGGTTACCGCACGCTGGAAGGACTGCCATCGTTTGGCAACTCCTTCACGCGCCCGATTTTGTTTTCAGACCCGAGCATGCACGGCCGTCGACAATGATCGTGTGGTTGCAGTACAGTGACGTGGGTCTGAAGTACTGAGGGGAGCTTGTCACGCCAACCAACGAGGCTTCCTGCTAGGCCATGCGTGGCCGACGCTGCAGAAATGGGCACGAGGGGCATCTTGGCGCCCTCGAGCTTTTGTTGCAGGTGGCAGTCATTGCGCAGAGTCACCAGTGAGCATCTGCAAGTCCCCGACTTCTTTGCGCACAATGGTGCGCACAGCTTCCACAGTGGCTTGTCCGGCTAAGGGGGCTAGCTCTCAGAAACCAGGCCAATTTCTCTGCTGTGCTAAGCAAACCTTCGAGGAACCGTGAAGTCGAAGCCTAGCGTACGAAGCTCTTTCTGCCTTTGGAACAGTGACAGTGCACCATGTGTGGTGGAACCTTGCCGCATCCATTGGATTCGGCCTAATTGACTTGGGGGGGTGTCAGGCTATCCAGAGCAAAGTCAAGATGCAGGCTTTTCTGGATCCATTTGAGGGATGCTAAAACTCTGGTGGGAGCCTGACCTCCATGGACGCAAGGTCTGGATGTTCTGACCAGAATTGCCATTGGCCCACTGATAGGCACTGTAGGTGAGTTAGGCGTGGGATTGAAGGCACATCGTTTTGCGCATCTCGCGGGTCCCAGAAATGTTCTTGGCGGGGGCTTCAACGTTTCTCCTTCCCCGGCGGGTTCGCCGGGAGAGCTTCCTCCCACACATGTGCAATGTGATGAAGCCGCCACGGATAGACTTTGTCTGGGCCGCGGGCGCATCTTGAGTGGCAGCATCGGTATTTGAGGTCTGCGTGCGATGGTCCTATGGTGTCAGGCGTTGGGGGGATCGCTAGCCTTCCTGCTTTGTCCTACCCCATACCTGCATGCACATTCCGCGTGGCACGGAGCTCCAATTGAAGAAAGCCTGCAGGGTAGATGGGCTAGCAGCCACGCTCAGCATAGGCAGAAGGGAGCTCAAGCAACTCGACACCTCGAAGGGCCGTAGGCAGGAGGCGGAGGGTGACATCCTGGCATGGTGGAAGACGAAGTTTTTACGTTATGCCCGGCCTCACTGTCCCAGGGCGCCTCCTTGCCAACCTCGCACATGCTTGCCGCGCCTCTGAGTCATGGAGCTGTCAACCGAGGCAGTGCACCACTCACCACTATGCCCGACGAACAGCCGCATGGATCACGGTCAACATGATAACATGTCAACCAACCAAGCCTGCACAGTCTTTAACTCGCTGCAGGCCACGTGTCGGATATAGTCTGCGCTTGCTTTGACCGGGCTCGTCTGCTCTCGGCTACCGACATGATCCGGTCAAGCCTCCTAGCCAAGTGGCAAGTTGTTGGCTGCCGACATGAATCTGTGACATCGACGAACCTAAATGCAGTAAGATGCCAGTACCAAAATGAACCTGTCAAAGCAGCAAAGTCAAACAATGATCCGGCACTTCCGAAATAAACCTGTCAAAGCGAAGAACCGGCAAGTGGCAAGATGCCTGAACCAGTCAAAGCAACAACATCAAAACACCACACAAGTGGCAAGTTGCCGGCTACCGAAAGGAACTTGTTGCAACAACATGTTGGCAAGTGGCAAGTGGTGGGCCACCCCAAAATGCAGAACTCCAATCCTTAGCTGGCCTCTTCTCTCGAGTGAATCGGGCAAGAAAAAGTCCAAACTCTTTGTTTGCCACCCAAAACGGCCCAAGACCAAGCAAAAAGTCCACACACTCAGGAATCGAGTGAGGTTTGGATTGGCTCCGTGGACTAAGGTTGCGTGCTTTCACTTCGGCTTCCAGGAGTGCGCAAAGGACGGACGGTTGTTCCAGCGCTTCCTTTTTAATATAGATTCAATTGCACCAGCTGCCGAACAGATCACAGCAACCGACAAACTCGACAGGGCACATCGCTGTACAGAAGGAATACCAGCGTACTGCTTGAACTACACAGCAAAGTGGTTGAAAAGTGGGAGGGTTAAGATTCAGATATGCTCAGCCCCGAAGATGGCTCGGAATGGTAGTATTTGAAAGCAGCAACCGCCAAGTCTGGGTTGTTCAAAATGCATCCAGGCCCATGGTTCGAATGGCGCCGCTCATGGGAAGCTACGAACGGGTCCCTGATGTAGGGGCCAAGGATTTCTCCAAACGCCAACACATGCCCCTGGCGTTGAGTAAACAAATCTGGCAGCTGGCGCGTGGCGCTCCAAGTGCCAGTGAAACCCACTACAAGCGAAGCATCACCTTGTTTTGACCGGATCGGAACCATGTCGGATGGGCCCAGCGTTCACAACAAGCTCGAAAGATGTGTTTTGATGGAGTAGGTGAACCTTGTTCGGACTGCACATTTCATTTTGCTGGTTTACAAGAAAAGCTGGATTGTTGGCTTTAGGGCTACCAGTTTATCACATTTACATATCACCCCATCCCAGTGAATCTGGGGGATGAGTTTCACCACCCAAGCGAGAACCAACTGGGCGTGAACCAAACTTGGGGGGGCATGCAGGGTCGGGTTCCAAGGAGTCAGAGCTATGTCGAATTGGGCAAGTTGCCTCGGGACCACTCGAGGCTGCCCTCACGCCGCCCCGGAAAAGCTTGGAAATGGAATTCGGGTCAATCTATTTTATTGCCAACAACAAAGAAATAGTCTTAAGCAAGTGTTGTCTTGGGGTGTGGAGCTGGTTTCTTGCAAGATGCGATCGGTGCATCCGTACCAAGCTCAAGGAACTTCGGGGCTGGCCTTTCAAAGAAGCCGTTAAAGGAGCCAAACAGGGCTTCGGACGCCAGCAACTAACTGTACAACATTTTTGCATTTGAGCCTTTTCCGATGCAAAAAACAAGCAAGCCACCACAAATCAAATCAAATCGACGGCCCATTAGTGAGCTGTGAATGTACAATGTCATGACTCTGGCTCCATTTTGCCAGTCAAAGTCAGAGGGGTGGGTCAAAAACAACTGACCTTCACAACCCCAGAACAAGCAAAACATTGAACCCACAATTCTGCCCTGAGGGCTCTTCTCCTCTTTGCTTTGTTGGCGTTTGTGCGTGTTCCCCCGCATGGTTCCACAGCGATCGGAGCCGGAGCTCTAGAATATAGAATCGCAGACTCTGCACGCAACTAGCGGCCAAGAAACTGCCAAGTTTCCACGCAGCGTGTTGGGTTGCCACACATAGTTGTCCACAGGCACACCCAAAAGTTCCCGCTTACAATTGGGAGGAAGTCGCGTGTTTTCTTGGGTTGGTATATCTATATTCTTCCAATATACATATATATATATATATATACATATGTCGTCTCAAAGGAACGTGGTCCCCAAACCAAACGTAAACCCCGCCCTGAGTTTCAAGCAAATTGGCAGGTGGCAAGTTGTCCAAGTTGCCGGCTACCAAACTACAAACGGGCAAGTGGCAAGTTGAGGACTACCGACATGACCCCGTCAAGCCTACAAGCCGCCAAGTGTGACAAGTTGTCGACCACCGAACAACAAATCCGCAAGTGGCAATGGGTGCGCTTCAGAAACAAGCCTGCAAGGGACAAGGCGGCAAGGGACCCACCAAAAAACCACCCCAGAATGCAGAACTCCAAAACTCCGAATCCTTAGGTGGCCCGAATCGAAGTGCAAAGTCCAGGAGCTGAGGAATCGGGCGAGGTTTAGGTTAGCTTTTTGGACTACTGTAAGGTTGCATGCCTTCACCGTATTTTCTTGGCTTCCAGGACGCTTCAGAGTCTTTCTTGACTCTGTGCGCGCAAAGGGGCGCACCTTTTGACCGACGGACGCTTACGCACAGGCACATCGCACATCCCAAATAGAATCCCAAGGAGGGATGCGCCAAAGAATGTATCCTTTTATATAGATTCAGTTGCACCAGCTGCCGAGCAGATCATACCAACAGAAACAAAGCTCGACAGGGCACCCCACTATACAAAAGAACAACCAGCCTAGTGCTTGAGCTACAATCACTATAGCCACTCTATAACCACCATATGTCTACTTCCTGGGAAAGGGCATGAACAAACCCATGCTCGCAAAGCGCCTTATCTGCTAGCTCAACGCTGGCAACATGTTGTCGAGATTCCTGAGTCTGGCTGGTGAACAGGCCCGCCTCTAAGAAACCCCTCATGTCTGACTCGAACCCCAAGCAGCTTGCCTAACCACTCAATCGTAACACCAGAGTCACAACGTTGCCTCTTGTTGAGGGTCTGCCTTTGGGCTTGCATGAAAAAGCATAAAACAAGCTGTGGCACCCACCTTTTGGGACCTAACAGCACTCGGCCGGCCAACACGAAACTCTCACCTCAACTTTCTGCCCGAAAACAGTGTTTACAGCCAACCTGGCCTTAAGCAAACACGAGCCAGGCTTGTTCCCTAAGAGGGATTGCGTGAACCAAAGTGCTTGAAACGCGGAAGGGTTAAGATTCAGATGTGCTCAGTCAGTGTTGAAAACAGCAACCGCCTGCATCCAGCCCCCTGGTTCTAAATGGAAAGCTACGACTCTCTGGTGTAGGGGCCAAGCATGCATTCAAGCGCCAACAAAAATACTGGACCCCCGGCGGTCAGCAACAACAATGGCAGCTGGTGCGTGGCTGTCCAAGTGCCAGGGTGTAATTCGCTGCAAGTCACGCATCAAACAGTTGGCAGCGCTTGTTTTGACCGGAACCATGTCGGAGGGCCCGGGGTTCACAACAAACTCGAAAGTTTCATTTTGAAGGAGAAGGTGAACCTTGTTCGGATCGCACCGGGTTCTTCTTGTTTCCATAAAACCTGGTGGCTTTAGGACTCCCAGTTTGTCCCACTTGTCAAACCATCCCAGTGACCCGGGTTGAGGAAGTTGAGAACCCACCACTCAAGCGAGAATGGGTGGAAAAGCAAACTTGGGGGGGGGTTCTTAGTCTTTGCCGGAGTTCGAAGGAGTCAGAGATATATTGAGCGCCTCAATGAAACAAGTATCTTGCCGTCGGTTCCTTTTCAAGTATGCTCCATCGTCGCTTCTTTCAAACGACCCTTGGTTAAAGGTATTCGGAGGCTTGGGGAACAACAACTCCCAGGCCTAAAGATTGGGGACGTTGCCTCGAGATCACTCGTCCCAAGAAAGGACCTTCGGATCAAATTACTTTACTGCCAAACAAGTGTGCAGATGCCGACGCGATAGGGAAACATTCGGAAACCCATTCCCTAGCATCCATTTGCTAGAGTCCCCTGGACTGAAAACTCGACACATAATATGACCAATAGCTGTAGAATCCTTTCAACAATGAAATCGAATGAAATAGTCTTAAGCAAGTCTTGTCTTGGGGTGTGCAGCTGGTTACTTGCAAGATGCGATCGGTGCATCCGTACCAAGCTCAAGAAACTTCGGGGCTGGCCTTTAAAGAACCCGTTAAAGCAGCCAAACAGGGCTGCGGACGCCTGCAACTAACTAACTGTACAACCCTTGTATTTGAGCCCTTTCCGATCAAAAAACAAGCAAGCCAAGACGAAGTGCCGCCCAATCACAACAAATCGACGGGCCCATTCGTGAGCTGTAAATGTACAAGACTCTGGCTCCATTTTGCCAGTGTCAAAGTCAGAGAGGTGGGTCAAAAACAACCAAGATACTGACCTTGACAACCCCAGAACTTTGTTTTGTTGGCGTTTGTGGGTTTCCCCCTGCATGGTTCCACCGCGATCGGAGCCGGAGCTCTAGAATATAGACTCGCAGAGTCTGCACGCAACTAGCGGCCAAGAAACTGCCAAGTTTGTGTTGGGCTGCCCCAAACTGCTGCCCCAAACGTTCCAGCTTAAAATTGCCCTCCAAAGCTTTCTTTCAACCCTTCCCTGTTTTTTGTCAACCCTTGCAAACCGTTCCCAAGCAGGGTTTGAGGGTTAAAAAAGGAAGGGATAGAACAACAAGCTTGGAGGGTGGGAAAAAAAGGGAGCCTGAAATCTCGTGTTTTCTTGGGTTGATATGCTTATGTTATATATATATATATTCCGTCTCAAACGGATCTACCCAAACAAAACGACAACCCCACCTTCACTGTTTCAAGCAAACTGGCAGGTGGCAAGTTGTCCAAGTTGCCGGCTAAAACCTGTCAGAACTACAAACGGGCAAGTGACAAGTTGAGGACGACCGAGATGGATGATCCCG